ACGCATTTGATCCAGCATATTCAAAAGCGTTGGGAGTGGATGTAGAAAATTTGATTGTCTGTCAACCTGATAATGGCGAGATGGCACTTGAAAGTAATATAGCTTCTCTTGGATATTTGGTTTTATAGAGAATTGACATGATGATCATAGCAGTAGGGCCAATGGACAATTTTGATTCTTATGAAATTTAAGCACCTATGCTCAGTGTATAAGGACTAACATCTTTGCACATCTCAGTTGCAGATCGTATGTGCAGGTCTGGTGCTGTAGATCTTATCTGTGTTGATTCTGTATCAGCTCTCACTCCAAGAGCGGAGATTGAAGTGTGTGGTTTTTTTTCTTTGCCATAGCTTTCAATTAAAATGATGAGCTTACCCATTTTTGATTCCTTGCTGTATTCTTAACATTCAGGGTGAGATTGGGATGCAGCAAATAGGTTTGCAAGCACGCCTTATGAGTCAGGCATTGCGTAAAATGTCAGGAAATGCTTCAAAAGCTGGTTGTACACTCATTTTCCTTAATCAAATAAGATATAAGGTACTATGGATTGAATAGTATTACTATTGTGTTTGTTCATATGGCATTTTTACATCCTTCTATTCTCTGTATCAATGTATCTTATATTTGTCTCCCAGTGACTGATGAATTGTGGATTTTTTTTTTTAGATTGGTGTATATTATGGGAATCCAGAAGTGACAAGTGGAGGAATTGCTTTAAAATTTTTTGCCTCAGTTCGTCTTGAAATACGTTCCACTGGGAAGATAAAATCAGTAAGCTCAGCCAATTTAAGCCTGTAAAGAAATAAAGAAGGATGATTTATTGAGTTTCTATAATTCTATATGAACACTTGAACACCTGATGAGTAGAAATTCACATTATTTTAGGTTAAAGGAGATGAAGATGTAGGGGTTCGTGTTCGTGTAAGAGTGCAGAAGAGTAAGGTACGTATTGCTGGTGGCAAGATATGTTTGAAGACTGGCATCATTATCTGCAGATTAGAATTGGTTTATAGATGAATATGAAGGTTATGTCCATGCAAGCATGTACATGACTGTTGGATAACTAGTTTACCTTGAGCTGTACCTTGTCACTGGGAAGACTTCACAATATGAAATCATTATTTGCCACTGAAATCATTATTTGCCAAGAAATGTCATGCTACAGTAAATCAATTACACTGCGCCCCCCACCTCTGATTTCTCGCCATACCTTTTGATCATCCATCATCAGTATATTTCCACAGAACTTTTATTCTGATTAGCTGTTTTGACAGGTCTCAAGACCGTACAAGCAAGCCGAGTTTGAAATTATATTTGGAGAGGGAGTGAGTCAACTGGTTGGTATTGCAATATAATGATTGTCATTTCCACCAATACTGCAAGCTGTTTTATCTATTCTGACTCTTATTTAAGTGTCAGGGTTGCATTTTGGATTGTGCTGAAATGATGGATGTTGTGGTAAAGAAAGGTTCTTGGTATAGCTATGGGGATCATAGGTTGGCCTCTGAACTTCTTTTTTCGGTTCTTGGTGTTGATTTCAGTTCAGTACTGTTGGTTTATATATCAATTTATTTATTCGGAACTTTAATACCACCGCTCATCATTTTGTGTTTATGTTTTCAAAAAGGTTGGGACAAGGAAGAGACAAAGCATTACAGTACTTGAGAGACAATCCTCATCTTCAGGAAGAAATAGAGAAGGTTTGGTTGTTTATGCATTTTGAACGGCTTAAATCCATTAATATGGTGTGAAGCTGCTTTAAGTGAAGCAGCAGGATTTTTTTTGTGTATCTGTCATTTTCAATCACGTGAGAGAAAAAAAATGGAACAAAGCCTCTTTATAAGTACTTGGAGCTTTATATACCATCTTTCATAGTCTCTACAGCGTGCCATTATTGGGAGGATTATGGTAATTTTTTTCCTTTTTTTTTTTCCGTTTGCAGATAGTCCGATCCACTATGACTGATGGAACTGTAAATATGGGCACTCTACAAGCGAGGAACATGCCATTGCCTCTTCAAGATGAAAATGTTTACGATGATATTTGATGCGGATGTAACAGAATTTCTTGACTGGTTATAAAATTTTGTGTGTCTCATTGCACTGAGGCTGGAAGGCTAGTTGAAGGCACAACAGAACATACATTCTTTCTTGCCAGGTCAAGCCTAGGCTGAGTGGTGGTGCATCCACAAATATGTTGGTCCATTTAGTTCAAAGGGTTAAACTGGCTGACATCGGTTTTCATTTATCTGTACCATAATCTCATAGAAACTGAAATGGCATGGTGTTGTCTTGCACTTGGTTGCAGACGCATCATCCATGCAAATGTGGGTGCTGGAGGGGGGAGAAAGGGTTGGAGGTTTTTCTTACAAGTTCTGAGAAATTAATGTTAACAGCTATTACTCGCAAATGGTGTTTGCCAGGTTGATCTATTTACTCAACAACCTCTTTATGCCAAATGAAAATTAGAGGAACACATTGCAAGATGTTTTTGATTAAGGTGGTATTTGATGATGTGATTGCTGTTATTTTTTAAATTGTTTTTTATATTAAAAATATTTTATTATATTTTTTTTAAATTTGTATTAATATGTTAAAACAATTTAAAAATAAAAAAATTGTATTAATATGTTAAAACAATTTAAAAATAAAAAAAATAATTTGAATAAAAATATTAGTACTGATGAATTGAAGAGGGAACTGATTAGATAAATTGGAGCAGCACAATATTAATATTGTTATTATTATTATTGATGCCGCTGCTGCTAGAAACAGTTCTTAGGAACTTGGAATAGGCAAATCAGAGCAGCAGAACTCTACTGTGCCAAAGCAATTGTACTGTAAACAAGATGTAAACAAGAAGGGCTCCCCCAGCAAGAAGGCCAGCTAGGGTAACAGCCCAGATTAGCAAGCCAGTAGTACCTGCAAGTATCACATTATTCAATCAAATAAATTGAGCTCTTAACTGGGAATTATATGAGATAATTCTCTTCAAAATAAATGGGTTGCATCATGAAATTGTCAAAAAAAAAAAAAAAACAGTACTTTGAGTTGCTTACCCCCAACATAAACATCACCACTCGGAGATCAATCATTAGTGTTGTAAATAGGACTGTACATCAAACATCACAGAAGAAATTAGGAAACTCAGGTCATATAATTTACGCCCATTTTCAAATAATTTATCATCAGAATTTGTTTTAAAAATAATAATCTGGGAATTGATCACAAATTGATAGCCTACCTGTATCCATCAACATTAGCACCATATTTGTCGACAAATTGGTACGCTCCCTTTCCCTGAATCAACCCTAAAATTTGTATTACTAATAAACTAATCTCTGTTGGTACCAAATTATCCATAAACAATGGTATAATAATCCCTTTTAAAAGCAGTTCCATGCATAAAAATTCATGATAATTCCATGCAATAATGCCTCTAGTTAGATTAACTTTTAAATTTAATGAATATTGTCAAATTATTTACACATAATCTTTTTTTTAAAAAAAAACTTATTTTACTAAATATATATTATATATAGTATAAATATTATAATTCAAGAGACAAAACAATTTCTAAAGAGAAAACAGTAACAGGAGGCCAAATTAACTTACCCTAGTAATATCGAGTATCATGCATTAACGTTTATTTCAAGCATTTTAACTAGAAAGAACATTAAATTACCTTGCCCTTCCTCCCAGGGGCATCAACCTCTTCCCTCAAGTCCATGCCACCATTGATTCCTGTATAACAAATCCAAAACTCATCAACTCAACAAATAATACATTAATATTTTTTAAGAGACTGATTTTATGAAAGAATTTTTATTGAATAACATAGAAAGACTAGCAGCCTGCATGTATTTCATTCTATAAATTAATAAAGATCCTATTTGTATATGTGGTGTATGCCTTTTCGTTGAATAAATTTGAAGAAAATATTTAGCGCTTGCTTATCTCAGAATAGAAAAAAAATAATAATTATAACAGCAATATTTTTTATTAAAAAAACTAAAAAAAACATAAAATAAATTTATTTCTATGATGGTTTTCGAGGGAATCTCTGTCTTTTTAAAATATGAAATATATAGACGTGTTTCATCTATTTATATTATCTTCGTCTCTTCTTTCTCCAGACAAGAACTAAATGCCACAGCAAAAATGAAGAAAATTGTCGGTGAATCTAGAAAATTATATATGTATTTCTATGGACAAATATTAAACAATGAAGCAACAGACCATAAGGCTGATCAGTCTTGGTCTTCCTCGTACGACTAGCCTCAACTTTGAAAGATGATCTCCTTGCAAGAGTCGGGAGCCCTCTCACTGAAGAAGGTTTCTTGACTGTAAAAGGAGATGGTTTCAGGCTGATTGATGAAGCCATAACCGAGCTGGTTGCCATAATTAATTACTGGTGTTTTATTTTGCTTAATCTCCTTTCTGCCTGCTTCTTGTGATCTCCAACTTGCTGGTCTGTCTCCAATAAAATACTTACTGGATATTGGAAGTGATAGCATGATCAGTATCGTGCATGTTCACACCTGGCATTGCTTATGTGGATGAAATCTGGATATGATATTGCTAACAATATCAAGATGGCCAGGTGCTGCAAACCAGGTGGTCTAGGAGTTCAAATCCTCTGCCCCACCTGATTACAGGACTGCTGGAGTAGGACCATTGGCTTGGAATGGATCAATATTCAGAGATTATCTACAACCTTCCATGTTACTGTATTTAAGAATATATTGTATGGTGTAGTATCCCAGAATGAGAATATACTCTTCGAATATTATAGCAGGACCTGTCAGCTAAATCAAGGCATCATCACTGCCACCATCACAGCCACTATCACGACAGCAGCTGCCGCCATCAGCACATCATCACTGCTATGCATTTCAATACAAGAGGTCCTAAATTGGAACCTAGGGCTTGGTGGGGTGTGATAAAAGAATGAAACAATATGATCTCAAATAAACAAACAATAACAGGAAATAATAATAATAATAATAATAATAATAAGGGAAATTTATATGAAAATTTACTACTAGTTGTACTCCATTGAAATTCAAATCCAAGGGAGCACAAAATTACACTTAGGGATTCACAAGGGGGGAGATTTTTTTGTTTCTGGACAATGAATTGGACAGGCTATATGATACATTGCTATAATTTAGAAAAGCACAAGTCTACTGTGCCAAAGCACTTGTGCTGTAAACAAGAAGTACACCTCCAGCAAGTATGCCAGCTAGGGTAACAGCCCAGATTAGCAAGCCAGTCTTACCTGCAAATATTATTACATTATTCATTTCATTAACAATTACATTGAACTCAGAGACAGGGAAATCAATATCTAATACAGAAATTGATGTTCTTTTTTCTTGCAGCATGGATATATAGTTCTGAAAATGCATAGAGTAACTTACCCCCAGCATAGACATCGCCACTTGGGGACCATTCATCAGTGTTGTAGATGGGGCTGTAGCCATCCACATTAGCACCATATTTGTCGACAAATTGGTACACGCCCTTCCCCTACAGGATCAAGTTTAAAGATTATGATGTTAATCGCTCGTAAGCTTTCAGTAAAAACAATACAACGCGCAACTGCAGAGGATGCCTATAGAGATTTTCAAAAAATCATTTCATCAGTCGAAGTGATTCGGTATGGCATATATCCTCCATTAATAGTCTACACCTGCTCACAGTCCAACTAAAAATTCTCCAATGTAACCTTAAAGGATATAGCTCAATTAATTAAAAAAATATCAATTCGAGTTTTATAAATTTAAAATTACTAAAGAGTTATATAATTATTAATTTTAAAATTTATAAAATTAATTAAGATACGTGCTGGTCTTTAATAATAATAAAAAAAATAAATTCTCCAACGATTTTTATTCCTAGATATATTCCCTTCTGGTTTGCAAAGGTTTACATTATTTAGTACTACAGTGAAGATATCAACACATTCGTATATGTTATATGATTTCTTAGGCTGCTATTACATGTTGTGTTTGGTTAATATTCCATAAAGTAAATATATATATATATATATATATATATATTAGAGATGAAAACGTATTTAGTTAAAAAATAAATACTGAGTCATAAAAATAAATATATCTCTAGATAGTTTTGTATTATAGATTTCTATCATTCCAAAACAAGAAGGATATTTCAACTATTTTTTTTTTATTTGGAGACAACAACCAAACTTGATGCTGGAAAAGAGCAGACAAGAAGTTGGAATATATATTAAAGAGTAAATAAAACAAGCCAGCATAACCTTGCAAGCAAATTAAAGCACTACACACTCACCGTGGGCTTCCTTCCAGATGCATCTACCCCATCCCTGAGGTTCATGCCACCACCAGTTCCTGTATAACAAAAATGAAACTCTAACTTCTTCACAAAATCTCTTCTCCTTCTAAAATCAACAGGAAAATAACTTAGCTTCTTGGATTGTTCAACATGTAACATGGGCAGTTTAAATGCTACAATAAGCAGCAGTCTAGACAAGATCCAACTCTATTATAGTCTAAAGAAATGAAGAAAATAATTAAGGAAATGAAAATCAAGAGAATAAAAGATCCACGAAGAGAAAATATTAATTAATTACTACATTTTTGTAAATTATATTAGTGTGGGATGAGAGAGGGAGAGGAGAAGGAAAGGGACTCGTACTTGTCTGTAAACAGGATAAGGAACAAGGAAACAAAATTATTGAGATCAAATTGCTATCATACCATTATTTTAAATTACTCTACTATTAATCAATGATTAATTAATTTGTTGTTTTGTTACTTTTCATTTCACTTTCTGTTCATGCACTTGTCACAAACTTTTTTTTTCCAGAATTGGAGAGGAAGATCAGTTCGGGCCCTTCTGAGAAACTTTCCATTTACACTAGCTAACTATCTCTCCCTGGTCAGCTTCGACTATAGGGGACCCAAATCAGAGAAACTGCATTAAAATCTTGCGTGTTCAACATCTACATTTATGTTTGTGCATGCAAGCCCATCACATGAAAACAGTATGACTGTAAGAGTAAAATGTATTTATGAAGATGGAGAAACAGACCATAAGGCGTATCAGTCTTGATCTTCTTGCCACCACTGGCTTCAATCTTGAAAGACCTCCTTGAAAGTGTTGGGAGGCCTCTTACTGAAGATTTCTCAACTGTGAAAGGAGATGGTTTCAGGCCCAATGAAGCCATTACTGAGGCTGCCATTGCTGACTTAGCTTCTGCTTCTCTCTCTTCTTCTTTTTCTTCACAATCTCTCGTTTTTTCTTCTTAACTGTGTGGTCGGGCTACTAACCCTAGATAATAATAATGGGTGGTGATTATTAGTTTAGTAAATAATTTTTTATGCTTTATGCTTAATATTTTAGGTGAGTTTCCTTTATTTTTTCTATTTATTCCATTATCAAATTTTAGTTTTATTTATTAATAATTAGTTATTAAAAATTTTAGACTTTATGATAATTTATAGATTTATTAAATTAATATGTACATGAATAAATATTATATGCATATGAATATAAATTGAAATAAATTTTGATGAATTAATATATATTTTGTAATGAATTTCACATGAAAAATGATGGTGATCAACTTACTAGTGATTAAAAATGAAGTAATGAACAACTCAAAAAATAAGAGGCACAATAAAAAAATTAAAAAATATATTAATATTTATATTTAACCCACTTGTCTAAAACAACAAGTCAAAAAAGAATTGTTGTCAATAATTTCACTAATCCGTGGAAGATTTTGAAATAAATAAATGAAAGTTTAATTATATATATTTAGAAAGAATTTCTTTAGTAAAATTAAGAATAAAGTTATTATGAAATAGTTTTAAAATATAAAAACTCCATAGAATAATTAGAATGTAAATTTTTTATTTTAAAAATATTCTTAAATTAATTTTACTTGACATAAGTTAGTACATGTATTTCAAATTAATTTTTCTGTATATAACATATGTTTATATAATATTAATATTAAGTATTTGTTAATAATTTATCCCTTCATTTAAATTTTTTTAACTCTGCCACTAAGTAATATAAATATTCTCAACTATTAACATTCAATTATACATAGATAGAATGCACAAATTTTTTATGAAAACAATTCAGAATGCTAAAGCGACGAAGATGTTTCTAAAAAAAAAACAAAAATGATATTTTAATTATTAATTTAATTGGATTTAATAAAATTAATTAATTTAAATAATATAAATAAAAATATAACAATAATAAAAAAATTAAAAATGTAAAAAAATATAATGCCGTTGAAAACAAAGTGAATAATATCTTGAATTTCAATTGTTAAAAAAAAAAAAAACTTAATACATGTTAATAGGAGAAAATAAAAAAAATTAATTAAAAAACAAAAAAAAAATCCGAACCAACTCAAGTTAACTCACAATCTCATAACCCTAAACAAGAGATTAAGATAACCCTATTAAAAAAATAAAAATAAAAATATAAAGTTAATTTATAATAAATCAAATCTTTAAGAAAAAAATTAAAAAATTAAAGACCTAAAAAAACTAAATTAAGTCAACTTATGTAACTTTTGAAATATGTAACTCTTGTCATAAGTCTAGGATTAACCATTGAAGACAAACCTTAAAAAATAACTCATCAAAATTCTAAATTAATAAAAGATTAAAGGATGAAATTTTAAAAAAATATAATAAAAAATCAAAAATAAAAGAATTCATAATAAAAAAGAATATGGACTAAATTTGATATAAAAATAATATAAATTAAATATAGAGGGATAAAAGTAAAAATAAAAAAAATTCAATTAGAAAAAAGATCGAAAATAGTATAAAAAAAAGAATTTGATATAAAAAAATGCAATAAAAAGATCCAAAACAAAAGAATTCATGATAAAAAAGTGGGGAATAAATTTAATATAAAAATAATATGAAATTAAATATTGAGGGATAAAATTAAAAATAAAATTCAATTAGAATAAAAAATATAAATAAAAAAAATGAGAATTAAATTTGTTATAAAGATTAAAAGAAACTAAATAATAAATGGAAAAATTCAAGAAAAATTCAATTAAAAAAACAAATAGATACCAAGAAAAATAAGAGTTAGTTTTGATTAAAAAAAAATGATAAAATGAAACCTTTTATATTTTTGGCAATAACAATAGATAGAAAAGTGAGAGGAGGAGAAGCAAAAATTCACTGGAATTCAACCATCATTCTTCTATGTACACACACGGCATTACCAGAAAAATGACGAGGCACTTTAAATTCCTCTCTGAAAGGTAGCGTGTGACCATGGTACAACACCTCATTCAGCTTTTTTTTTTAAAAAAAAAATAAATAATATTAATAATTGTTAAACCACCAAATCTTCCCCAATAAAGCTTGACAATTTTTACTTTTAAAGCATTTATATTTATACTTTAAAAATATAAAATTACTGAATAACTTTTATAAGTTTTTTAATAATTTTTTTTTATTAATATAGATATTTAAATTAATTTATGTACATCCAACTAAAAACTTTAAAATTAATGATTATATAAATCTTTATTACTGCCGCAACCTTTTAACAATTTTGTTTGTAAGGGTAATAAAGATCATACAGCATTCAAATGAAAATATATAAATAACTAACTGCCCCTAACGGTACAACACCTCATTCAGCTTCTTTTTTTTAAAAAAAAAAAATCAATAATATTAATAATTGTTAAACCACCAAATCTTCCCCAATAAAGCTTGACAATTTTTACTTTTAAAGCATTTACATTTATAATTTAAAAATATAAAATTACTGAATAACCTTTATAAGTTTTTTAATAATTTTTTTTATTAATGTAGATATTTAAATTAATTTATGCATATCCCAACTAAACTTATAAACCTTAAAGTTAATTAATGGTTATATAAATCTTTATTACCGCTACAACCTTTTAACAATTTTGCTTGTAAGGGTAATAAAGATCATACACCATTCAAACGAAAATATATAAATAACTAACTGCCCCTAATTAACAGCCTTTTGGATGTTAATATCCCACTGTTGAATTGTGATTTTGTGTTTCGTTTCATATATTTCCTTTTGCTTTCATTTTTCTCGCTGTGTCTATTGCTTATTGTTGTAAAATGATATGCATGGCTGAGGAGAAAAGAGGGGAAAGAGAGAGCTTGGAGTCATCTATACGTGTTATGGACTCGTAAAGCTGTGAACTCAGCACTGTTTGTTTTAATGGGTTTCAAGAGCATGCATTATAGTGGGATTGAATTGTAGTTGAGTATTTTACATGACCATGAAATGATCAGAAAACTACCTGAAAGAGGGAAAAAAAGAAAAGAAAAGAAAGAAGCAAAAGCTAAAAAGGAACAGGACAGAACTTATAAGCAACTAAGCATTTCCGTAAGCTTTGAAGCAGCAGCCAGGCCACTAAGAATCGCACCTTCGACATTTGGACTCACACAAAAATCTCCACAGATGGCCAATCTCTTCTTCCTATCCCAAAGACATCTCTGCTCCCTCGCTATGCTCGCGGTTGGGAAAGCACTTCCCCTGGAAACACACCAAGCGATGGAAACAATGAAGTGAACAGTATAGAGCGGTAAGAATGAATGAAAATAGTTGCCAGAAGGAGTAGTTAAAAAAGAGAGAACACAGACATGCAAGTCTTACACTTGTGCTAATGTAAAAATTCATGATTCATGACAGCATTCAACTTCTTATGTACATAAGAAGTTGAATGCTGTCATGAATCATAAATTTTTACATTAGGGGACAGCAGAACTGGATTTTCAATTCCAAACAAACTGAATCCTAACCCCTAGTTCTAACAATCAATCTATAATTTCCAGCAAGTTTTAATGCAAGTATGTAATCCTGATGGTCAATCTTGTCATTAACATTGTGAAGATAACAGGCAACTAGCAGCAATGCATAACAAGTAACAACCAGTAGAAACTGCAGAATGTTTAAGATAGAAGAGTGCAAATTAAAGGATTTGGATGAACAGAATGTTGATTACAAAGAGTTGAGTTTAAGAGTTAAATTGATAAGTTGGTGCTAATCATTAATTTTATCATTCTAGATAATATCAGCATTCTGCATACAAGGATAAACGTTTTCAATACTCAGGAAAGAGGAGAGAAATCCTATAGAGAAATGATTGTACAACATCTTAAAATGAGTAGATAACATCTCAAGAGAGAAATCCTATATTCATGCTGGTCAATTAATTAGATAAATGGAAGAAGCGAGATTCATCATAGAAACAAACGAGGAGAATGGAGAACAGAACAAGACTTGTGAAATTATTATCTGACTTGATTATTTGGAATTTTTATTTCTTCTAATGAGGTTTAGCAAAAAAAAAAATTCCCAATTCAGCAGTTAAAGTAGTTTTCAGGTATAAAGTTATTCCATTTCCTATTCTGTTAGTTTTCCAGTTCAGGAATTCCTATCCCTATTTTGATATTGGGTTTGAGGTTTTTGATGTTTCTTATTCCTGTTATATGTTGTTGATTAACAATTGATTATTAAGTATAAATAATTTTGCTTCTCCTTGCTACTTGCTTCAAAAATCCTTAGCAATGCTCTTCTTTGCACTCCTCTCTACTGTCCTACATGAATTTTGGCCATTAAGAAAGTTGCAAGTATGCCGACCAACAAATCAAAATTCCTAGTTTACTTTGTAATTCCAGCAAAGTCATACCCTCTTCCCCAGTTTCTTAAATAAACCTGAGAGATGTAGTGGCATGGACTACTTTAAAGGCCTTCAAACAAGCTAACTGATCTGGCCAGATAGTGCATCTTCCTTTCAAATCCCCAGTTTACTTTCTAATTCCAACAAAGTCATACCCTCACTTCCAGAATTGCTTCAATCAAGCTGAGAGAGTGTGTGTCATGGACCATTAAAGTCTCTTTTAAAGGGCTTTGAAGGCTAACTTAACTAGTCAGAAAGTTTTCTTCCGAGGCCTCTTGGAGAAATGGGAAGTTAAAAATGGAAACTGCATTGATTTTCAAAGCCTCATAGTACTAGAACAAAGCAGAGATCCCAGAGCTTTAATCTAAGTACCAACCATCTATGAAAATATAGGGCATTAATCTAAGTACCAACCATCTATGAGCTTTCATAAAAAATGGTCGAGGGATATTGAGCCCAATGCTTTGGAATTCTTGAAATAATTCTTCAGCTACTTTTGTTAATGTTGCGCTTGAAGGCTTCTGAAGGCCAGTTTGAGCAATTATGCCTCTTGCATAATTTGCTGTTGAATGTAATACCCATCGTTCACTGCACAGCAAAGCAAAATAGTAAATATAACTGAGCAACCTGAAACAGAAACTTGAT